TTTTTTGGTATTTATTGAATTTCTTGAAGATTTTTTTTTCCCACAAATATTATACTTTTTAAGTGTATATATGTTAGGTGTATCTAAAAATTAAAAAAATTGCTTAAAATATTAAAAAAAATCAGTAAAAACAAAAAGACACGAAAAACAATAAATTTTAATTTTCTAAAAGTGAATCCTGAGTTATAAAACCAAACAAACTGATTAGTTTTTTTTTTTTTTGCACGTAATTTTTTTTTTTAGTTTTCTTAATTTGAAAATTGATGTTTTAAAGTTATGAAAATTAAAATAAATGTCAAATCATCATGTTCCTTTACAGATAATTATAAATGTCGAAAAATCATTGTTTAAAGGGCAATTCCAACTATTAAAAATTTAATGGCACTTGAAGGTGTAAAAAATCTTAGTTAGGACTTAATAGAGTATAAGTTCATAAATTAGGATTTGTGTAAATGCCCTTTACATAAAAATGTCAAATGTATGAAAAAAATTTAAACATTTCTTCACAGGTTAAATTTAGTGAAACTAATCTCTATTAAATGAAAATATTTGATTTAAACTTAATTTCATTTTCTTAATTTATGAAAATTATATTTTATTATTATATTTTTTTACTAGATTAACTCAAATAATAGACAAAAAATATATTAAGTTCAATTAAAAACAAAAACAAAACCTATATTAAACTTAAAATCGTATTTTACATACTTTTTAATAAATTGGTTGTAATTACGTAAGAGATTAAAAAATGTCATGATATTTTTTAGTGGAAATAATATTAAATGTGTAACTAATTCTTCATTATACGGGTTATCCGTGTCAATTTTGTGTTATATAGATTTGACACTAACCCGGCCTATTTAATATTCATGTTATTCGGTTGTGTCAGGAAATTGTCAGCCTTAACCTGCTAATTTTGTGTATGGTTTGAGTCGTGTTATCGTGTCGTGTCGCAAATTCTCACTCCTAAGCAGCGGATCTAAAGTCTAATGCTTCTTGAGTAAGCAAGCAAAGGAACCGGCTCCTTCCGTCCCTTCGTCTCGCGACAAGACTTGTGATATAATATAATCTATCTATACCTCATTCGGTTTTTTTAGATTATTCAGTAAGATATGGTTTGATGTTTGATGTCTTGCTTCACTAATTGAAGTCTGTTCCTCGTGAACTCCGTTAGCAAGGCGCTGGTCCTTCCCCCTCGTGTTAGTCAATCTGCTCTCTCGAGATGGCAATTGATTTCTTTTCTTCTAGAAGTTTAACCATAGTAGCTAATTGTACATGAAATGGGTGCTCTTAAAAATAATTCCTTGCCTTGCCAAACTATTGAAGTTTTCAAAAACTCTGTTAATGTTGTGCAGCTTTTATTTACTGTAGATAGCTGTATTTTATGACATACAATGACATAATTTAAGCATGACATCTCCTTCCTTTTGGGCAAACTATATATTACCTTTGAAAGTCATAAAAACATCCCAAGTTTTTTTTATTGTACTATCATACATAGGATTACAAATTGCCTGGTGCAAGATACGGTGAAGCATAATGAAGTGGATATGCATTTTCCGAAGGAAAATATATTTGCTGAACTTGTAATCATAGTAGAAACCTATTGATGGACATGTTGACTAAAATATTGTACGTGTGAATTGTGGTACATAAGCAAGCTTGGCATGTGATGTCTCTGCATGTGCTTGAGGGGAGTTCCAATAGCATTTTAGACTGTTATTATCATTTGGCTTTTTGTTTAATTAGTCAATTAGTAGTGGAAACTCCTTGCATTGTTCCTTCTTTTTTTTTTTTGGTTAAGTTTCTTGCATTGATCCCTACTTTTTCTTCATCTCTTCTTTGCCTATTCCTTGGATCAAGGAAAATAAAGCATAAAATTAGGTCTGCCTTTCATTAATTTTGTTGCTACTGGTGTGCATGGAAAAGATTGAATTTGGGTTTGCTGGGAAAGGCTTGATTATCACAGTATGCCAATTCTTCATTGCCTCGTGGTGGCAAGTTGGCAACAACGAAGATTGATAATGGAGTAGCAAGCTCACAAGTGACACTGTTAGAATCTTTGTTTTGGAATACTAAGCAGAGATAATTGTTTTCCCAAAATTTTCAGGTGCACTTTCCTTGAATGATGACGATTAGAATGTTCCTTGACATTGTTTTTCTTTTTTCTCTTTAAATCAGTATAACTAATTAGTAATATTCTGAATGGTGTTCTAGATGATCCCAAAGTTCATTTGAACTTGAGGACGCATGTAGATTATATCGAAATGAAATCAGAAGTCTTTCTTTTGCTACTTCAACTGGTTTAAGCCAACCCACTTTAGATATTGTTAGGACCATCTAGATATTGTCACCTCACCATTACATTTCATTTCTTTCCCCTCTTTTTTAATAATAAAAAAATAAGAGCTTCAGATCTTAGTTGCACGAAGCGGGAGCGGGAGAACGTGACCATTTACCGGAGTCGTAGATTAGGAGCGTGTATGTATTATTTTTATAAATTATATTTTTAATTTATCTATATTATTTTATTTTTATTTTTAATTGACATGTATAATATATATTTTTTGCGGCTTTATTCAAATATATTAAAGTTCTTTATTTTATTTATTTTCATATTTTTTATGTAGTATGCCTGTTTTTTAATTGGCTTTGATTGTAATATAATTAGTATCCAATATTTTTTGAATTTGTAAGCTAAGACCAACTATAGGCTCAAAATAAAATATATAATTAAAAAAAGAATGATAAATACAGCAAATAAGTGGGACAGCTGTGTCGTCTTCTCTGTCTTTGAAGACTGGGCTGATTCGTTCCTTCGACCTCTCTTGGTCTGTTTCGCTTCATCTTTTTTCGAAAGGTATGCCGTCGTTGTTGTTGTTCTTCTTCTTCTAGCCCATATCTGATTATAATAAAAGTCATATTCTTTTTTTTTTTTTTTTCCTTTTATCAGATCCATATCTTTAGATCTATGCCCAAATCTACTTCAGATTTTTTTTGTTGCTTCGGGAGTTGTTTGATTTTCATCATTGATCCCATCTTGGATAGAATCACGTTTCTCTCCCAAAAGAATCGTGATTTTCTCTCTAAAGAATTGCGTTTCTTACATGATTCTGATTCGGAAACACAAAATCGTGTTTCTTCCAGAAAATCGTCACCTACTGTAACGATTCCTGCTACTAAGCTTCAGATTACCTTCGACCATTTTTTATAAGCTTCTTAATGTTTCCATCTTTGTTGTTTTTTTGAAGTTTTCTTTTACTTACGGTACACATTTTCTTCTTTCCATCAAAATGTTCTAAATAATGGAGAGTGAAGATTGAAAATCAGGATAACAAATTGTGAATAATTTCGTTACTTGGGTTCGATTATTAACAAGGATGGTGATATTGGAGATGATATGATTCATAGAATCAAAGATGGTTGACTCAATTGTCAATTATTGGATTGCATCTGACATATTATATGATCAACAAATACTAACAAAATTGAAAGGAAAAATTTATACTATAATGGAAACAATGCTTTAAGGGACAAGAGTGTTGGACAACTAAGAAGCAACATGTGTATAAAATGAAGGGAAAATATCAAAAAAATGATAGGGAAAATAATTACAAACTCATGAAAGTACAATGCTCATTTGCAAAAATTTAGTGCATAAATCGCTTTTATTTTCATGAGTTTGAAATTATTTTTTTACTTTTCACTTTTTGGATATTCTCCTTAAAATGAATGTAGCTAAGATGAGAATACTTAGATGGATGTATCGTAAGACTAGAAAGAATAGAAGTAGAAACGAATATATTATCAAAATAGTAAGAGCAACAAACACCTATTGAAGTTGAGGGGCTTTCTTTTTTCCCCTTTATTTTTCTTCTTTTTTGATGACCGGGTGTTTGGGGCAGCTTATGCATACTTTGACTAGTCCCAGGGTCCTAAGGTTAACGACCTGTCAAACCTCCAATGGCCCCAGTGTTTGGGATGTTTGGCCTTCGTGGGATTTGACCTTGCTGATCTCTTGGGTGGTAAGCCAGTTAGCTGCCTCCCTTCCCACTAAGCCAAACCCTTGGGGTGCACCTATTGAAGATAAGTTGAGAGAGAACAAGTTAAGATGATTTTGGTTATGTGCAATGAAAACCTCTACATGTAATAGTAAGAAAGAGTGATATGATCACCATAAATGGAGATGTTAGGGTAAGGGGAAGACCTAAGTTGACATAGGATGAGGTAGTGAAAAAATATATGAATTTATTTAATTTAACTGAACATATAGCTCTTCATAGAACAGAATGACGGAAAATGATTCATGTAGCTGGCCCCACTTGATTGGGACACAAGGCTTAGTTTGTTTTGTTAGCCTATGTCCATATTGTGTGGAAGGAAAAAGGAATGCAAAAATCATAAAAATTCGTTGTCTCCACAAGTCTGGTCCCAAACACAACCAAGTCTAATTCCATATAAAAATGGAGAAAACCAGTGTAGACTCGTTTTAACATCTTATTCCCCATGTCCCATGTTTTGCCTAGTTCTGGCATTCGTTAATTTTGGTGCTGCTGGTGTGCATAGAAAACCTTGAAGTTGGGTTTGCTGGGAAAGACTTTAATGATTGCAGTATGCCAATCCTTTACTTGCCTTGTAGTGGCAAGTTGGTAACAACTCTATTCATTGTTTTTCCAAAACTTTCAGGTGCACTTTCCTTGAATGATGATGATCAGAATGTTCCTTGACATTGTTTTACTTTTTTCTTTTTAAATCAATATAACTGATCATTAATATTTTGAATGGTGATCCGACTATCTCAAAACTTGAGGACGCATCTAGACTATATTGAAATTAAATCAAAAGTCTTTCTTTTGTTACAACTGGTTTAAGCCAACCCACTGTAGATATTGTTAGGACCATCTAGATATAACTTCCACCATTTTCCATCCATCTTCGTTGTTTTTTTGTAGTTTCCTTTGACTTACACAGCACACATTTTCCTCTTTCATCTTGTACAGTCAGAATGTTGATGGGAAAAAAGGTTCAGAGTTCACCACACAAGCATTCTCAATGGGTAGAAAATCACAAGATGCAGCTGTTGGTGCCCTTGTTCATATGTTGAGGACAGCACCACCACTGCGCCAAGATTCAAGCTGTTACTCATCTCGTTCCTCAAAGACTGAACTCGAGGGAGAAGTTGGTGCAGCTTCTGGGTTCTTTTTGGCTCGGAAGACTTCAGATGCCTTGGAGGAGCTCAGGGGTTACAGAGAAATGAAAGACCTCCTTCTCTCCAAAAGTGGGACTCCGGTGGCTGGCAAAGAAGAAGCCTAACCCTGCTGCTTGCTTGGTGTAATTTTGTTTTGAAACACAATATTAAGATTTCTGCTTAATGGTTCTTTATCACGACATTTAGTTTAACATGTGTACAGCAACATTTTTTAATGTTTACTCTTTAATTTTTGCGCAAGGCCTAACAGATCATGTACATTAAATGAATAGAAATCAATTACTATGAGACCAATTTACTGTCTTTTTTGGCCATTAAAATGTTCCACGGCTGTGTTTGGATTATGGATTTGGAAGGTATTTGAAAAGAAAGAGAAAAAAGGTAGGTGAAAATGTTGTTATATTTTATTTACATTGTACTCATTTGTTTTTGTTTTTCTTTTTCTTTCCAATTTTTTATCCAAACATATAATCCAAACATAGCCTCTACTAAATGTTTATTGTCGTGGAATAATGCTTCTCTTAAAATGGTAACTCATGAAAACATGCTGTACCCGTACCAGGTACTTATCGTTGTATGATACCTCGTATGGTATTTCTATATACGTACCGAATATATAAAATACGTACCCAATTTTTTTTTTCTTAATTTTTTGGCGTATTCAGACGTACCTAACATATACCCAAGCCGTACCATAATTCACTTGAAATAATATTTTCTTCTACTATAGAGATAAAACTCCTTTCACTAGACTTCTTTTTTATTTTTTGTTTTATACTTAGTATGATTTTAAAATTAAATTATGGTTTGTAAAGTTATTTAATATATTGACATTTAATTTTGATTTATACATTTACTTTTGGCATTAAATATTAATTGTAGGTTGTACCTTAACAAATTAAACCATTTAATTAATTTTTGCATTATTTTAAATTAAAAATAATTTTTTTTTACAAGCGTACCAAGCCGTCCCCGTACCCTAACCCTATTTTTTTTGAATTTTATCACGTACCTGTATTATACCAGTACTCGTACCCGTGCTTCATAGATGTTGAATGACAAGATCTAACCCGTGCTTGATAGATGTTGAATGACAAGATCTAATAATAAAAAGGCTGTACACACACTGAAGAGACTGCATTGATAGACTTTTGGATTTGGTCTCATTGTTATTTGATAAGTAGGTTGATTCCCTGTATTAATTTCATTTGTATTACATTTATCCAGGAAGTGAAATACTGTATGATAAGGGATCATCCCCTTGATTCTTAAGAAAGTTGATGATGTATTAATTATGGTTGCATCACCAAGAAATGAGGAGAAAAGAAAACGACAAAAACATAGTGTATACAACCTACTTATGTATACACTATGTTGTGCAGTTGTGTGTGTATACATATCTAATTCTCATTGAAGCTCTGGAGGCGGTAGAATCTTGAATAAACTCCCTCAGATGCTGCTACTAGCGTTGAGTGGGTACCAATTTCCACGACCTTACCTTTATCCATGACAACTATGGTGTCTGAGTTTATAACCGTGGAAAGTCTGTGTGCAACGGTCACCTGTGTGGTTCTCGCCAATAAGCCATCATTGTCTTTTATTGATTCCAAAGCACCCACCACAGCTCTTTCAGATTCTGCATCAAGAGCACTTGTTGCTTCATCTAAGAGCATAATTGCAGGCCTTTTTAATAAAGTCCTCGCTATGGCTATTCTCTGCTTCTGTCCTCCTGAAAGTTGGCATCCTTTTTCCCCAACCATTGTATTGTAACCATGTGGTAGATTGCTGATGAACTCATGTATGTTTGCTTCTCTTGACACCTCTATGATTTCAGCTTCAGAACTTTTGTCATTCCCATAACAAATGTTGTCTTTAATCGAGCAACTGAAAAGAAGCGGTTCTTGCTGCACAAGCCCAATTTGTTTCCTTAAATTCCTCAGGTTATAATCTCTTATATCCTTCCCATCAATCAGTACCCTGCCTTCTCTTGGATCATAGAATCTCAGTAGAAGGGCCAAGACAGAAGACTTTCCGGCTCCACTTGGCCCGACAAGAGCAATCTTTGATCCAGCTTCAATTTGCAAACTGAAGTTGTTTAGTATAGTTACTTCTGGGCGTGACGGGTAATTGAAATGAACGCTTTGAAATTCCATATTCCCTTTGATTGTGTCAAAATTTGAGTCTTCTGGTGTGTCTGGTTCAATTTCAGTTTGCCTGTCAAGGGTTTCAAACGCAGGAGTTAGTACAGTGATGGCAGAGATCACTGTGGGGATCAGTGTCCATAGCTCTGTGATTGAAGGTACTGTGAGAGAGAAAATCTGATACGATCTTATTCCATCCCTGAAAGTCGCTTGATGTTTCTGGACAAGAACTGTTGTGTATGTCAAAGCAACAGCATGTGCAATGTTCCATAAGCAAATGGATACACCTTGAATGATCCCATACTTGACACTCTGTCTTCTGCTCCTCTTCATTGGGATTTCCAGAGACAGTTTGGCTTTCTTGAGTATGTGCTCTTCATGACAAAAAGATGCAATGGTTTTTATGTTGGCTGCGGCTTCAGAAGCAAGGGCGACAAGTTCCGAGTGTGCAGCAGCATTGTCACCTGAAAATCCTTTGGCAGACTTAGCTTGAATCAGGCCTCCGATGAAGTGGCAAGGCATCACAGCCCAAGCTACTAAACCCATTCTCCAACATACTTTGATGCTAACTATTGTTGCAATTAGTATGGATGAAATGCATTGGACAATCACAGACATACGATCAGCAATTATTGTTTTTACCATGGCGGTGTCATTGATGATCCGTGAGGTAAGTGAGCCAGTGCTGTTCTCAGGTTTCTCGAACCAAGCTAATTCATTGCGCAGTACAGCTGCAAGATTTGAACCCATTTCATACTTCTGATGAAAAGTTCATGCAGCATGATATGCTAGATTGTTTAGACCTAAGAAATGCGAACACTTATAAGATGGTGACATGTCTGTGTCAGCCACGTGTTTGACATCAACACTCCTCAGACACTCTCGAACATGTTTCTGATGTTCAAAATTTTTTTTTTGTGTGTGTGTGTCCATAATTAAAAGTAAAAATCTTAGTTTAGGACACGTGTTTGACATACATTTTGCAATATGTCCATCACTTCTTGGACATGTCTATCACTGAAAAACAAGCATGAGATCAACACTTATTGCTAATTATGTTTCAAAGTTCGCAAATTTGGCACACATCTTATATCATTGAAAAATTAATTCTTAAGAATAATACTATAGAAATTTCACATAACATTACATGAAAATGAAAAGGATACGTAAATGTATTAGCAGATGGCTTAGGAGGATGGAAAAAATGTTGTAATTAAATATGTTTGTTATAGATTGCTTGATTTTTCACTACTATGGTTCAGTAGTTGAAAATTTCATGTAAGAGATTAGATACAAGATTTGCTCAGTATAAAGTAATTATTTAATTTTGTATATATTATGCACATATAACTAGATAATATAATATATTTGTAGATAATAATAATAATAAAAAAAAAACACACTGCCCAAATAGTACACATATTGTGTGTGGTGTGTTTGAACTGTATTCGTGTCCTATTTTTTTGGAATTTTTATGTCCACATGTCATGTTATGTCGTATCCGTGTCCTACGTAGTGTCTATACTTCATAGGTCTAGAGTAGAATGATGATGGAATCACGATTAGTGGAATACCTGCATATAGAGCTTGTCTAAAGTTTGTCATGGCCTTCTCTCCAACCACTCCAAAGACATAATGCTGCAAGATGTGGCTGAATAATGATAGCAATCCTACCAAAGCAAAGATTACTGAATACCGTCCCACTATCTTATTTGTGTTTTTCTCATAATATGCTACGCCTATTGTTATGATGAAGAACCCGAATATAGGCTTTGAGATACCAGAAAGGGCTGCTGCGAAAGAGCCTATGATGGTTTTTACAAGCTCTTTCTTCGTCAAACTAAACCAGATTCTGAAGAATATGGCTGTTTTTTGTCTCCCTTTTTGTTCCTCTTGCTTGGGAGGATCATTGTGATGTCTGCTGAGCTCTGTGAGTTCTTCAGGTTGCTCTTTGGTCACATTTTGAGATGAAATCTGTTGCTGCATATCTGTGGGTTGCTCAGCTGGATCTGTTACCCTGTTGTGATTCATTTAACTCGATCAAAATATTTGGATTTCTCAACAACACTACAAGTTTCATTAAAGGAAGTTTTAGTTGGCACCAACCTTAAGTCACCGTCTACATTGATATTCTGCATGTTAAATAAGTTGTTGTAGAATTTACTGGTATCTAACAACTCGCGGTGTGTTCCTGTCTCTTGAACTTGACCATTGTCTACAACTACAATCATATCTGCATTAATAATGGTTGACATCCTGTGTGCAATCAATATGACCGTTCTCCCTTGCATTGCCGTCTCAAGGGCATCTTGAACCAGCTTCTCTGACTCTGAATCAAGTGCACTTGTTGCCTCATCGAGCAATAGAATTGGAGGGTCCTTTAGAATGGCTCTTGCTATTGCAATTCTTTGTTTCTGTCCACCTGATAGTTGCACACCCCTCTGTCCTACCTGGAATTCATTACATTCAAAATATGATGAACAAACAATCAGTTGAAAATATGTTGCAACTGTAGACATCATTGAATAGATGACTGGAGAATATAGATGCATGTAGCTGACCTCAAGTTATTGCGAGGGCACATTGATTGAGTAGGTGATAATTGTTATACATGTGCATTTCTACAGGTTGAGACTGTTACAAGGTCTTGGGAAGAACTCAACCCAAATGCTAGCTATTAAGGTGAGGGTGCTGTCATGCTTATATATTGCACATTATTTTTTACTTGGGTAATGTGTGACTTAGTTTCACACCCTCCCTCACGTGCAGTGTGCTCACTTGGCAGCACTTGCTGCGTGCAGGCTAGGGACATATCCTACCCGTCCCTGGTACTCCAGCTTTGACAGCATATGGCAAAACCAAACAGATTGAGAGGAAGAAGAAGAAAACATTGAATTCTGATAATCCTCCATGTTAAATCACCTCTAATCCCAAAAGCTTAACATATTATGAAATGGGTTCAACAATTTATATCAAGCTATCAACAGAGACTTTTATGTAGGTGGTTCTGTATTGGGTATAATCAGTTGTTCATTCCTTTGGTTAATAGTAAGAAATGACTTCTTAAGTTCTAATTAGCCAGTATTGATGACATTTCATCACTTGAGAGTGGGGAGGTTAATTGGGGAGATGAGTGTCTTACCTCTGTTAAGTACTGATTTGGGAGTTGGGATATGAAAGAGGTAATTAAGGTGTGCATTTGCCATTTCTGATGCGCTCTGGATCTGTCGATCATCTGCATCCTTGTTTCCTACCTTCATATTGTCCTTTATGGTTCCGGCAAATAGTGATGGCTCCTGGGAAACTGCTCCAATGTTTTTCCTGAGGAACTTCAGATCAAGATCTTTGACATTGTGATTGTCAACAAGAATCTCACCTGGAGGATGATTTCACATTTCATTAGGTTGATGCATAAATATTTCTGTATCATTTGTCATCGGGTACTTGTTTTCTAGATTTACAAACATTGCTTTCTATAATAAATTGTTGTCATTGTTACATACACATACAAATTTCATATATTTGAACATTTTATGCTTGATGTGTCAGGCAGATATGCATTTAATGACTAGTTTGCCTCAAATGCTAAAATTCGTAGCTGGGAAATGTACTGCAAACCTTTTGAGGGATCATAGAATCTTGCCACTAGGGAGATGACAGTGCTCTTCCCACACCCACTACTGCCCACGAAAGCCACTACCTTCCCCGCTGGAATTGACAATGTAAACCCTCGAAGGATCAATTCCTCCGGCCTTGATGGGTAAGCAAAATATACATCACGTATTTCAATGTTGCCATCAACCACCTCAAGTGTCTTCCCTATTGAATCGTAACTTATTAAGGGCTTTCTTTTGATCACCTGAAAAACTTCCTTCCCTGCAGCCTTTGCCTGATTGAAGATTTGCATGTCTGGTGCTGCATAAGTGAGTGATCTGTAAAAAAAAAAAAAAAAAAAATCCTTTTAATATCTGATGGAATGAAAGAAAATGAGGAAAGAGATTGTTGATTTCTCCCTTACATAGCACCAAAGAGAATGCTCATAACAGCAGATATAACATCTCCTCCTTTTGCTCTATGGGCTGTGACAACAACGGCTCCAACCCATACAATCAGCGCCCAAGAACAGAAGGTCACAGTTTGGAACATACCAATTCCAACCCCCTTTATGAGTGCCTCTACCTTGCTCAATTTAAATTGTTCCTCCATGTACTTGGAGAAAGACTTCATTGCATAACTCTCTCCCACAAATGCAAAGACTGTTTTGATTTGGGATATTGTCTGATACAGAAATCAGAGACATATGTAAATAATTTGTCTTATATCTTACATAATAAATCAAATCCACCTACAAGTTTAAAGACTTGACTGACATATACCTGTTCTACCATTGATGTGGCTTCTGACAGGTGAACTGTCTTTGTGGCCGAAATGGCATTCATTTTCTTTGTATAAGTGGCTCCAATAAGAAGAATCATTGGAACAACAAGAAAGGTACTAATAAGTGACACTTCCCAACAACATATGAACGCGAGGAAGACCCCAGAGAAGAAAGTTGCGAAGCTTGAGAGAAAATGGCCCAGCTGTTTGGGAGAATGTTTGTTAGGTGCCATGAAGATTCTTATGAAAATTGAAATAGATGGCGTCTGTGCACACAGTACTCAACTATCATTTAATACGTTGCTTATATTGTTCGATCACTTAACATAATACCCTATCAACTCACATTCTCTGTCAATCATAATACTATAAAATATCATGTCTATATTCCGGATTTACTATTTATCCATTTAACTGACCACAAGTAATTATAGTTACGGTTGTTGCAGTTTATTGTAGAATTTTAAAAGGATAAATTACAATTATAGCTCTTAAAATTTAAAGTTTTAATTTTGTCAATTAAGTTTTTAAAATATTAAATTCGAATCAATTTAGCCCTAAAAATAATATAAAAATAAAACATAAGCTTAAAGGTAATATAAAATTGTTATAAGGGCCAGATTTTAATTTATTGTTAACTTAATTATTCTTCACCTTGTGTTTTTAGAATTGGTATATTTTTCCCAAATTGATTAAAATCATAATTACTTATATAGGTCTCAATTTCTATTCTACTATTATTTATTTCTTCTAATACGCAATTATCCATTTAATCTAATTTTTCAGCTATTTCTAATATTATTTTATATTTAATTTTGTTATTGTCATTATTTATAATTCTTCTATATGATAATTACTTAGATATATTTATAATCAAGTTGATTTTCCTTAATATTTTCATTTTCTTTTAATAACCTGATTATAGTATTCTTTTGTTTGATAATTATTTGTAGTATAGTATTATCATTTTCGACTTCTTCATTGTGTCTAGTATTCATATATTAATATTAACAAAATTGAGAAATCATACTCTGGTACTAATTCTAAAATATACGTGTAGAGGATAATTAAGGAGTGTTTTGAGAAGATGATTAAAAGTTATTTTTTGACTTTTTTGTGAGAGAAGGAAGTGGATTAAAAGTTGGGAAGTGACTTTTAACCCACTTCCCAATATAGCCCTAAGTTGACAATAAATTAAGATTCGGGCTTTATAACAATTTTATATAATCTTTGAGCTTATGTTTTATTTTTCTATTGTCTTCGGGACTAAATTAATTCGAATTTAATACTTTAAAGACTTAATTGATAAAATTAAAATTTTAAAGACTTAAATGAAAAAAGTGTTAAACTTTAGGACCATACTTGTAGTTTATCCATTTTATAATGTTACGTCATATGTGATAATTTGATTCTTGTGAAATTAGGAATACAAATGATACAATGCTATATAGCCCACTATTTTTCTATCAGATATCAATATATTAGATATATTGCTTGCAAAAGCATTGAAATAACAATGCAAGTGTGAACATTTCACCTTCTCACCGATAGCATCCTGCATGATGCTCATGTGGTTACTAATTCCGGTGATGATTTTCCCAGTTGTTAAATCCGTGTCAAATGCCCCAATCTCTTGGCTAAGGGCTGCCCTCAAGAATGCGAGTCTTAGCCGTGCTATTTGTCTTTCACTAGTATGCATCCAGCATCCAATCTCTGCACATTTCAGAGAATTGGTATGAGTCATAGTAAACACTCGACACATTTTGAGACAATTTTTTTTTTTTTTTTGTTGAAAAATGACAAAAATGTTAAAATTTCCACTATTATCATATCCATATTTTGCATAGTATGAAAGATTGGAGTTAGAACTGAGGAGACTCATCTAAGTTAGACCTTTATATCAACTTGAAAAAAGATATGAATAACATGGACGGAATTAGGATTCCATGTTCAAAGGGGTCAAAACAGTTGAACAAAAAAATTTCATTTTTATTGTAGATGATTTTTTCTTCCAAACCAGGATTTCATTTACTCAACACTCTGCATTTTTTTTCCCCCCATAAATCCAACAATTTGCATTTTAAATTCAAAACATGCATACGACATATTTAGCAAATTTTCAATTACCATTAATTTTGATTATGATTAAAAGGTAACAAATCAGTTTATATGAAATCACTATATTATTAGAGGGATACAACCCCAAACAAATAAATTTAACATCATATTCTGTTAGCATATATTTTAATATTATAATGTGTTATAGATTTGATTTTCTTTTCTTTCCCTCCACGTTTTCATTGTCTTTCTCTATATGTCTCCAAGTCTTCCAAGGAAGTTGCCTACCAATTTCCTTTCCTATTCTTATACTCCAAGTCTTTGCCAAGTCAAGTCACCTTCAAGTCTTCCAAGAGTCAAGTTTTCATACCTATCCTCCAAGCAACTTCCAAGAAGGATCCTCCAAGAAACTTGTCCACCAAGTTTCATCTTCTATAAATTGAGCTAATCTACTATCTTGGAACATACAAGAAAAAGTTTTGTTGCTTTATTATGTTTTGTGTGAGATTATCAGGCAAATAAAAAAGGGTGTATGTGATAAAGCTTTGGGTTCAATCAATTGTGCAGTATTGGTGAACCGTGCGACTTAGTCAGGCTGTTGTATCCTGGGGGGGACAAGTCAAGGTTTTTTCTGCTGCACCGGTGTGAGACTTTACCTAACCGCAGAGGGCTTGAATCTCCTTAAAGAGAGCGAATTTCCCGCGCCTCAACCCTTACAATAGTTATTGTAATTTTTATTATTTGTATTTTCTGGTGTTTTATTTGTAATTATCACCAACAATTTTAAGGAAATTCAATTAGCAAAAGTTCATGGAGCCAGTACTGGAGAAGCCCAACGAGAATACAGGCAATTTCAACAAGCCCTTCCGGTTCAAGGGAGCCCATTTCAAGGGATGGAAAGGCAAGGTGCTTTTCTACTTCAGTCTCCTCAAGGTGGCCTATATCTTGACCGAGAAAAATCCGAACAAAGTCCCCACTGAAGAGATGACCGACGAGGAGTATGCTGTTCATCTTGAAAAAATTGAGAAATACAACACAGATGAGTATAAATGTCGATATTATCTTTTGAATTGTCTTTCAGATCAATTTTATGATTATTATGATACTACTTACATCACTGCCAAGAAAATTTGAAAAGCCTTGCAGAATAAATATGACACTGAAGAGGCAGGTGCTAAAAAATATGTTGCAAGCCGTTTTTTCGCTATCAAATGATAGGTGGAAAATCAATGGTAGAGCAAGTTCAAGATTTTCAGATGTTAGTAGCTGAAGTTAGATCTGAAGGCAACAAAATTTGAGACAATCTTGTTGTAGCAGGTATTGTTGACAAGCTACCATCGTCGTGGAGGGAGTTCCAGAAGTCAATACATCACAAGCAAAAAGAGATGTCCTTGGAAACTCTAATCACACGGATTCGGGTGGAGGAGGAATCACGAGGACAAGATGCGCTTATGACACAAGAGCATTCCACTACAAAGGTAAATTTAACTTCCAGAAATACTTTACCTAAAGGTCGATTTCATAAAAATAGTCACTTGAAGCCAGTTAAGAAAATTTGGAAAAATACTGGAAGGCCACAAAATAAAAATTACCCGAGGCAAAAGAAATAGAACCAAGAACCCCCTTCACAAGATCTAACAAATGTGACATGTTTTGTGTGTAGCAAAAGTGGGCATATTGCTCGAACTTGGAAATTTCGGAAACAACAGTCTCGACCACAGGCTAATGTTACCGAGGAACCATTTGTGGCAATGATTACAGATATTTTTATGGTTCAATCTGTGGAAGGATGGTGGGCAGACTCTGGTGCCAATGGGCATGTCTGTTATGATAAAGATTGGTTCAAAGACTTCACTCCTTTTAATAAGGAGATGACTGTTATGCTTGGTGACTCCGGTTTAACCAAGGTGCTCGGGTGTGGGGATGTTGAACTAAATTTTACCTCTAGACATGTGCTTGTTTTAAAAGATATGTTGTACACACCGTCCATGAGGAAAAATTTGATGTCAAGTTATTTGCTCAACAAAGCTAGTTTCAAGCAGACTATTGAATCTGACCAATTTGTAATCACTAAAAAAGGCATATTTGTGGGGAAAGGGTATGCTTGTGATGGAATGTTTAAATTAAATGTTGAGAATAAGAAAGCACATGTTTCTGTTTACATGCTGTCTTCTATGAATTTTTGGAATGCTCGCATGTGTCATATTAATAGCCGATATGTAGGAGTCATGAGTAGTTTAGGATTAATTCCCAGACTAACAAATAAGTTTGAGAAATGTGAAGTTTGCAGTCAAGCAAAAATAACTAAAAGGTCTCATAAAAGTGTGGTGAGAAATACTGAATTGTTAAAATTAATTCACACTGATTTATGTGAATTTGAAGGAATTTTAACACGTGGTGGAAATAGATATTTTATCATTTTTATTGATGATTTTTCAAAATATACTTATGTATACTTGTTGAAAAATAAAAGTGATGCTTTTGAAAAATTTAAAGAATTCCTTTTTGAAATTGAAAATCAATTTGGTAAAAAGATTAAAAAGGTATAGAAGTGATAGAGGTCGGAAGTATGAATCTTTTGGATTCAACTCGTTTGCTCAGTCTTTGGGAATAATCCATGAAACTACTCCACCATATTCACCTGCATCGAATGGTGTAGCAGAATGGAAAAATAGAACTTTAACTGATTTAACAAATGCTATGCTAATTGAAGCAGGTGCTCCTTCAAATTTGTGGGGAGAAGCAATTTTAACTGCATGTTATGTCATGAATAGAGTGCCACATAAAAAAACAAAAGTTACACCTTTTGAGTTGTGGAAAGGGCATAAGCCAAATTTGAGATATTTGAGGGTTTGAGATTGTGTAGCTTTTGTTAGACTGGTGGACCCTAAAAGACCTAAATTAGGTGTGAAAGTTGTCACTTGTGCCTTTCTTGGATATGCAACAAAGAGTACAGCCTATAGATTTTTTAATATGGAAAACAAAATAATTTTTGAATCAGGTGATGTAATTTTTCATGAAGAAAAATTTCCTTTTAAAATGGTAGGGGTCAAAATTATCAAGAAAATATTTTATCTGAAACCGGTTCCTCTACTCCTCTTTTACAAAACCAAGATACTGTAGTTTTTGAACCTAGAAGGAGTAAAAGAGCCAGATTAGAAAAAGATTTTGGCCCTGATTATCATGTTTTTAATGTGGAAGAAACTCCATTAACTTTACAAGAAGCTTTGGCATCTCCTGACTCTGTTTTTTGGAACGAGGCTGTAAATGATGAGATAGAATCATTATTATCCAATAAAACTTGGGTATTAGTAGATTTACCACCAGGTTGTAAAACTATTGGCTGTAAATGGGTTTTGAGAAAAAAATTTAAACCGGATGGAACTATTGATAAATATAAAGCAAGGCTTGTTGCAAAAGGTTTTAAACAACAAGCAAATCTTGACTTTTTTAATACATTTTCTTCGGTTACTAGAGTCACATCCATTAGATTATTAATTGCAGTGGCTGCAATTCATGATTTAAAAATTCATCAAATGGATGTTAAAACAGCCTTTTTAAATGGAGACCTGGGTGAAGAAATCTATATGGATCAACCTGAGGGTTTTGTGGAACCCAGTCAAGAAAGCAAAGTGTGCAAGCTAGTTAAATCCCTATATGGCTTAAAATAGGCCCCTAAATAGTGGCATGAGAAATTTGATTCATGCATGATTGAGAATGGCTATAAAACGAATGAATGTGATAAATGTATCTACTATAAATCTGAAGAAAATTCACATGTCATTATCAGCCTCTATGTGGATGATTTACTTATATTTGGCTCTAATTTGCATATCATCGTGGAAACTAAAAATATGCTTAGTAGCCATTTTGACATGAAAGATCTTGGTGAGACTAATTATATTTTGGGAATGAAAATTACCAAAACCTGTGATGGTATATTTCTTAATCAGTCGCATTATGTTGAGAAAATTTTGAGAAAATATAATTTTTATAACTGCAAGCATGTTCTTACTCCTTTGATCCTCATGTGCGTTTATTTCCTGTTGAAAATGATGAGGATGTAATTAATCAAAAGGAATATGCTAGTATGATTGGTAGCTTGCGTTATGCGACTGACTGTACTAGACCTGACATTGTCTATGCAGTTAGAGTACTTAGCAAGTTTACTAGCAAGCCTGACAGTGATCACTGGCTAGCCATTGAGCGTATTATGAAATATTTATCTGGTACCATAAAATATGGCTTATTTTATAATAAGTATCCTGCAGTACTTGAAGGTTACAGTGATGCCGATTGGAATACCTTGTCAGGTGATTCATTATTAACCACTGGTTACTTATTTACATTGGGAGGTGGTGCTATAAGTTGGAAATCAAAAAAACAAACCATTATTGCTAATTCAACAATGGAGGCTGAGCTTATTCCTTTAGCTACAGCCAGTGAAGAAGCAAATTAGTTGAGAGATTTGTTAAATGAAATCTCTTGTTGGGAAAAATTGATTCCACCTCTATTGATTCATTGTGATAGCACCGCAGTAATTGGTCGAGTTAATAACCGTTATTATAACGGTAAATCCAGACTTATCAGAAGAAAACACAATACCATGAGATCTTATATGAATAATGGCATCATAAATGTGAATTATATTAAATCTGGCAATAATCTTGCAGATCTATTAACTAAGGCCTTAGCAAGAGATAGAGTCTGGAATACATCGAGGGGGATGGGGTTGAAGCCCATTGAATATAGTAGGAGCCATGTATGAGGATACTTAACCCAAGGACCAGAAATCCTGTAATTGGGTTCAATGAGAAAAACGATCATATGATGGCCGTGAGAAATGCACTAAATCACTTTTACCCATCCCTATGATGTAAGTGCATTTATCCTGTAACGTTGTAGAGGTTGAGTTATTAAAAAAAACTTTTAATGAATTTCTGTAGCTCTTATTGAGTGGGGTGTCATAGTTACAGGAGCACCCTTGATAGAATTCACCTATGTGAGTGTGGTAGTGGTGCCGCTACCTATGAGATTTGGGCTAATTCTCAAACACACTCATGAATCTTGGGATCGCACAAGGCCGTAATGTGCTGGCTTTTAAAGCTTATGTGAACACCTGGAATATTATGTGTGCAATAATTATTTATTTCCCTTAAGCAGTCATAGTTCAATACTGAGCATACTATTGGCTATGGAGTAGATATTATTGTTTCACTAATGAAGGCTCAATGCAGAGCACACCTACCATGATGCATAATATCCTTATTTGCTTAATAATATCAGTTTTTGTTACCTATAATATTAAAATAGGTGGGGGAATGTTAGCAGATATTTTAATATTATAATGTGTTATAGGTTTGATTTTCTTTTCTTTCCCTCCAAGTTTTCATTGTCTTTCTTTGCATGTCTTCAAGTCTTCCGAGGAAGTTGCCTACCAATTTCCTTTCCTATTCTTATCCTCCAAGTCTTTGCCAAGTCAAGTCTCCTTCAAGTCTTCCAAGAGTCAAGTCTTCATACCTATCCTCCAAGCAACTTCCAAGAAGGATCCTCCAAGAAACTTGTCCACCAAGTTTCATCTTCTATAAATTGAGCTAATCTCCTATCTTGGAACATACGAGAAGAAGTTTTGTTGCTTTATTTTGTTTTGTGTGAGATTATCAGGTAAATAAAAAAGGGTGTATGTGATAAAGTTTTGGGTTCAACCAATTGTGCAGTATTGGTGAACCGTACGACTTAGTTGGGCTGTTGTATCCTGGGAGGACAAGTTAAGGTTTTTTCTGCTGCACCGGTATGAGGCTTTACCTAACCGCAGAGGGCTTGAATTTCCTTAAAGAGAGCGAATTTTCCGCGCCTCAACCCTTACAATAGTTATTATAATTTTTATTATTTGTATTTTCTGGTGTTTTATTTATAATTATCACCAACATATTCTATTTAAAAGCTTGAGAACAAAATAATATGCGGTATAAATTATATACTTGTGTATAAAGAGAGGCTTTGGATTACACAAAAATCAAGAAAATTTGTTTGGTATCCCTAAATAAGTGCATTTATTTAGGTCACATCACCTTTCTACTTTTCTGAATATCTTTTCATAAAAAGGTAAAAAATGCACTTAGGGATGGTCATTTTCTCTTGCCTTGACCCGCATGGATTTTTCCTGCCTCAGTTAAGAAATGGGGCAAGGATGAGTTTTGCTTCCCCCACTCCACTCTAATCCACCCACACCTTGTTTATACATCCAAACCCAACCCAATTATATTTATTAAATATAGTTATATGTATAATATATATATATATAATTTATTTATTTTTCATTATAATAAAGTTAAAATACTAAATTATTAATATTAATTTTTATTCATTTATTTTCTATCTTATATAATATAATTCTCATTAACTATAAATTATTATTCATAATATGCTAAATTATCTATAATTTTTATTAATATTTTTATTTTTCAACTTACAAAATTAACCCGCATCCCGCCCTGCACCTGCCCTGCTTTCGTCACTCCCGATTTATCCCGCCCCCGATATGATATGGGGCGGGGCAGATTTTTAAAAACCTACCCCAAACCCGATCCTTGATCATCCCTAAGTGTACTTGTTTAAATCATTCCAAACTACCTTTAACAAAAAATCACATATACAGCATCAAAAACAGAGGGGGCAGAGAGTGAAGGCATAGTATGGGTTAAAGTCTTTGGATGGTTTTGACGCCAGAATTAAAAGAAATGCCTTAAAAAAGTTTTTGATATGCCATTAAAGTCACAAGACAATGATTATAGGAGCAGGGGCAGTATGCATAGCATAGAAAAGAAATATAATGCTTTTTGTATCCCCTTAACACTGCTTAAGCAATAGTCTCTTCATACATCCGTCCTCCGCGCAAAAAACGGTCACTTCACTCACGAGGGGTGTGATCGTTTTCTGCGTACTTGGAAGTGTTGTATCAACTTTACTACACCCATGTACGCAAAAAGAACTACAAAGAAAAATAAAATCCTACATGCACATGTATATATATATATATATATATAATAAATCACACAGATAGAGGCAGAGAACATGTATATAACTGCAAAAATAAACCGAGAAATAAATTGTTACAAAAACAGATAAAATTATAAGATTGTGATTAAGCTCATAACCTAACCTTGAAGCAAAGCAGAATTCAAACATTCAGATAAGACTCAAAATCGATCAAACCATATAAAATCCATTCCATTAAAGTCAAAATAAAACCTAAATTGACGATGAGAATCTTAAAAACTACCGCGATCGCGATATCATCATCACCAGCTTTCAATCACCACCAGCCTTCTGGTAAACGTAGGTGAGACCACACTTGCCACAGTAGTGACGGTCGAAGTGATTGGCCATGAACGTTCCAGCACCGCACTCGGCGTTAGGGCACTCCTTCCTCAGCCTCTGGACCTTGCCGGAGTCATCGACCTTGTAGAACTGCAAGACGGCGAGCTTGACCTTCTTCTTCTTGTGCTTGATCTTCTTGGGCTTGGTGTAGGTCTTCTTCTTGCGCTTCTTAGCGCCGCCGCGGAGGCGGAGGACCAGATGGAGGGTGGACTCCTTCTGGATGTTGTAGTCGGCTAGGGTTCTGCCGTCTTCGAGCTGCTTTCCGGCGAAGATGAGACGTTGCTGGTCCGGAGGTATGCCTTCCTTATCCTGGATCTTTGCCTTCACATTGTCGATGGTGTCCGATGATTCCACCTCTAGGGTTATGGTCTTGCCAGTTAGGGTTTTCACGAAGATCTGCATCTTTACAGATCGATGGAGGCACGAACTAGGGTTAGGGTTTCAGAGCTCCAATTCAACACACTTCGGTTACGATATATATCCTCGCATACATACCATATGTCTCGTTGAGAAATGCTAGATAAAGCCCACTAGCCCATGCAGGTCGGGTTAGCCCTGAAGGCCCACTTAAACCTTATTTGCTTTATTTAGCACTGCTGCAAGCCTTATTTTCATTATAAAAATTTAAAAATTTAAATTAGTCAAATTTTGCTTGTGCTAAAAAATCATTAACAAGGTCAAAAAAAGCTAAGATATACCAAATAATAAAGTTGTGGTAGTGGTAGAGGAGATGGAGTGGCGATGGTGGATGAGAGGTAATGGTAGTAGTAGTGGCAGTAGTGGTGGTGGTCATAGTTCCACCCATTGATTTAAGTATGGTGTTTGTTTTAAGCTTTCAAATCATAATTCTACATTCATTTTTCAAAACTCAATTCAAAATATAATCATTACTTTTCAAAACTCATAACCAAATACATAATTCAAAACTCAATTCAAATCAATATTTTAATTTTTTAAAATATTTTAAATATTTAAATATTTTTAAAATATGTTACGATTTTTTTAATTTTTTAATTTTTTGAATATTTTTTAATTTTTTAATTTCAAAATATTACGATTTTAATTATTTAAAATTTAAAATATTTTATAAAAATAAATTCAAACTCTATTTTATAAAAATATTTTTAAATATTTTAATTTTGTTGTTATGTATTTGGTTATGATTTGAGTGTAGAGTTGTGAAAATAGTATGGAGTTTCGAATTATGTGTTTGGTTATGAATTTTAAAAATAATTTCTTAATTGAGTTTTTTGTTATGTATTTGGTTACGATTTGAGTGTAGAGTTGTGAAAGCAGTACATAATTTAGAGTTATGTGTTTGGTTATGAGTTTTAAAAATAATTTCTTAATTGAATTTTGTTTTATGTGTTTGGTTACAATTTGAATAAAGAATTGTTTTTAAATTTAAAATATTAAAATTTTAAATTATTTAATTTTTTTGAATATTTAAATTATTTAAATTTTTACGATTTAAATTTTTTGAATATTTATTTTAATTTTTTACTTATTAAATTTTTTAGATTATTTAAATATTTATGATTTAAATTTTTTGAATATTTATTTTGAAAAAAAATTATTTCCTTCGTAGTATTTTCAATTAAAAAATTGATTAATGTTATTTTCTATTAATAATAAATTTTTTTAATTGAATTTTAAAAAAAGTTTGGTTATGAGTATTGATCAGAATTTTCAATAGTGTGAAAGTAATGTGTTTTGTTATGAGTTATAACAATTTGAATTAAGTTTTGAAAACTCTTTCCAAAACTCATAATCAATTTTTTTTTTATTTCACATGTCAAATCAAACTTTCAAAACTCAATTCCACACTTAATTCAAAACTCAATTCAATACTCTATTAAAAAATTATAACCAAACAAATTTTCTACACTCAAATCATAATTTCAAAACATACAAACTCAAAATACAACTCATATTCTCAAATCATAATTAGAAAGTCTTACCAAACGGAGCCTTAGTTTTGTTAATTAAGTTCTTAAAATATTAAATTTGGATCAATTTAATAAAAAAAGACAATACAAAAATAAAATATAAGCCTAAAGGTTATACAAAATTGTTATAAGGGCCGGATTTTAATTTATTGTTAACTTGATTATTCTTCGTGTGTGTATTTTTAAAATTGATATATTTTTCCCAAACTGATTATTCCTAATTACTTATATATGTTTCTATTTCTATTCTACAAGTATTATTTATTTCTTCTAATATGCAATTATTCATTTTATTTAATTTTTCGGCTATATCTAATATTATTTTATATTTAATTTTATTATTTATAATTCTTCTAGACTAAAATTACTTAGATATATTTTATCGTTTTTTAGTGGTATTAATTTAAAAGGTTCCCTATGAGGATAATGATAATTATCTGTATTATTTTATTGTTGATTTTCTATAAGAGCTAACTACTTACCTTTATCTAATAATAGATGTCGAACTTCATGTATAATTTCAAGTTGATTTTCCTTAAGATTTTCATTAAGTTCTTTTAATAATCTGATTATAGTTTTCTTTTGTTCGAAAATTATTTGTAGTTAAATATTATCATTTTTAACTTCATCGTTGTATCTAATACTCATATATTAATATTAGCAAAATTGAAAAATCATGTTCTGATATCAATTCTAAAATATACGTGCATAGAATAATTAAGTTAATAATAAATTAAGATTTGGGCCTTATAATAATTTTATATAACTTTTGGGCTTATGTTTTATTTTTCTATTATCTTCGAGACTAAATTGATTTGAATTTAATAGTTTAAGGACTTAATTGACAAAATTGAAATTTTAAAGACTTAAATAAAAAAAGTGTTAAACTTTAGGGACCATAATTGTAGTTCATCCATTTATAATGTTCTATCATATGTGATAATTTGATTATTGTGAAATTAGGAATACAAATAATACAATGCTATATAGCCTACTATTTTTCTATCAGATATCAATATATTAGATATATTGGTTGCAAAAGTATTGTAATAATGTAAGTGTAAACATCTCACCTTCTCACCAATAGCATCCTGTATGATGCTCATGTGGTTACTAATTCCGGTGATGATTTTCCCAGTTGTTAAATCCGTGTCAAAAGCCCCAATCTCCTGGCTAAGGGCTGCCCTCAAGAATGCCAGTCTTAGCCGTGCTATTTGTCTTTCACTAGTATACATCCAGCATCCAATCTCTGCACATTTCAGAGAATTGGTATGCGTCATAGTAAACACTTGACACAATTTGAGACAATTTTTTTTTTTTTTTTGGTTGAAAAATGACAAAAATGTTAAAATTTCCGCTATTATCATATCCGTATTTTGCATAGTAGGAGACGTTGGAGTTAGAACTTAGGAGAGTCATCTAAGTTAGACCTTTATATCAACTTGAAAAAACAGATATGAATAACATGGACCGAATTAGGATTCCATGTTCAAAGGGGTCAAAACATGCTGAACAAACAAATTTCATTTTTGTTGTAGATGATTTTTTCTTCCAAACCAGGATTTCATTTACTCAACACTCTGCATTTTTTATTCATAAATCCAACAATTTGCATTTTAAATTCAAAACACGAATTTAGCAAATTTTCAATTACCATTAATTTTGATTTTGATTAAAAGGTAACAAATCAGTTATATCAAATCACTATATTATTAGAGGGATACAACCCCAAAAGAATAAATTTAACATCATATTCTATTTAAAAGCTTGAGAACAAAATAATATATGGTATAAATTATATACTTGTGTATAAAGAGAGGCTTTGGATTACACAAAAATCAAGAAAGCTTGTTTGGTATCCCTAAATAAGTGTATTTATTTGGGTCATGTCACCTTTCTACTTTTCTGTATGTCTTTTCATAAAAAGGTAAAAAGTGCATTTAGGGATGGTCATTTTCTCCTGCCTTGACCCACATGGATTTTTCCCACCTCAATTAAGAAATGGTGTAGGGACGAGTTTTGCTTCTCCCGCTCCACCCCGTTCCACCCGAACCCCACCCCAATTATATTTATTAAATATATTTATATGTATATAATATATATAATTTATTTATTTTTCATCATAATAAAGTTAAAATACTAAAATATTAATATTAATTTTTATTCAGTTATTTTCTGTCTTATATAATATAATTCTCATTAACTATAAATTATTATTCATAATATGCTAAATTATCTATAATTTTTATTAATATTTTCATTTTTCAACTTACAAAATTAACCTGCATCCCGCCCTGCACCTGCCCTGCTTTCGTCACTTCCGATTTATCTCGCCCCTGATATGAAATAGGGCGGGGCAGATTTTTATAAACTTACCCCAAACCCGATCCTTGAACATCCCTAAGTGTACTTGTTTAAATCATTCCAAACAACTCTTAACATAAAAGAAAAGCCTTAAAGTCACAAGACAATGATTATAGGGGCAGGGGCAGTATGTATAGCATAGAAAACAATTATAATGCTTTTTGTATCCCCTTAACACTGTTTAAGCAATAGTCTCTTCATACATCCGTCCTTTGCGCAAAAAACGGTCACTTCACTCACGAGGGGTGTGATCGTTTTCTGCGTACTTGGAAGTGTTGTATCAACTTTACTACACCCATGTACGCAAAAAGAACTACAAAGAAAAATAAAATCCTACATCTCACATTTCAATGATTTGCAATTATTTTCACTCGTTAATCTATGTACTGTATAGTAAGGTACCTAATACTCCAGCAGGAAATGTGGCAATGGCCATATACCACACAAATGGAATAACCTGAACAAACAACAAACATCGCCATGAGAAGTTACTTTAAAAGTACTTTGAGAATGTTTGGTACAGCTTGTAGAAGCTGCCTATAGTTAGTGTTCTTAATTTATTTTGAGAGTTAGTGTAAGAGAATTTGATGCAACTTCTACTTATAACTTATAAAAGAAAAACATTTTAAATAAATTAAAATAAGTTGATTATGGAAATTGGAGAAGATATGTTTTTAACTTATACTTTTCAATTATCAACTTCGACTTAAAGAAAAGTCGCACCAAACAAGCCTTTTGATTGCTCCATTAGTATAACACTAGTAGATTTTTTTTATGCCTTGAGCAGAGTTTATACCTTGTGGAGAGCTTTAACCATGGCTTTGGAGTCATGGATGTTGTTTCCAAACGCATCAAGGGCTTTTCCAAGTAGCAAATAACCCATGGGTAGTGCCATTCCATGGACAATGGACCCTAGTGTGCCCAGAGCCATCAAAGTCCAATCCAATGGATCTGCATAGCTCAAAAGCTTGTGAAATGGCAAGGCTTGAGTAAGTATCTTCTCTTTATCTGTGTCCTTTTTGTCATCATAATCATTATCATCTATCTTCTTGCCTTCAATCTGCATGGCTTCTATGTCCCGGGAAGCCATTGTTACCACGCTTGCACGTTTTTCATGTGAGATACTATAGACGTACAAATTTGATGAAAACTATGTGTAGAATTTATATACTTAGGATTTTATGAAAACAATGCATGAATTGGAATATTTGTGGAACATTTGTGGGATATTCTTCTGCACTGTCATGAAAGGGCCAGACCGCAAGAGTGATGTTTTTGTTTCATTCTTTGGTTTCATCGCATGGCTGTCTGAAGCACGACATTACTAGTTTGGGACTTGTGCGGAATCAATGTTTTAAAAATCGGACCGGTGAGTGAATCAGAAAAGAAATTAGGTGGACGAGTTGAATTAGAATCAAACAGTGATATCATAAATATATTAAAATTATATTTAAATAAAAATATAAGTAATAAAATTATAAATTAAAAAATTAAATAATCTTAAATATTTCTCCTAATACTTTTTTTTCCTAAAAAATATAATTTTAATAATCTTAAATATTTCTCTTAATACTTTTTTTATTAAAAAATATAAAAATATATTTAAAAATATTATTAATTTTAATTTTGAAAGAAGAAATCAAATATTTAATATTCCTTCCATATGATTTTAATTCAAACACTTTGATTGAAAGAAGAGCAAAATTTTTGGAGGGATATCAAATTTTAAGTTTCCCTCCAATGAATTTGATTGAATCCCATATAGATTTCTTAAGTTTTGTTGGAAGAATTTTTTTCTTATAAATAGATGGAAGCTTTCACAATAATTTCAAGCTCTCAAAGGGATTTCTCACAAGAGGAGACCCTTAAAAAAGAGTTTCTAATTAAATTTTTATTATATATATATATATATATAATAAGAAAGAAAGAAAGCAAAGAAAGAACAAAAAAAAACAAAAATTCAATCTTATTGACTCGGTGAACTGCCCTCAGATCGACCGGTTCAGTGGTTCTACCGCTGATTTTCCCGGTTCTCATGAAATAGGCCGGTTTTTTTTATTTCGAACGGTTTATTGGGTGTATCCGAACTAGAACCCCGACTGGTCGACGGTTCAATCGGTTGAACCGGCCGGTTTGGTCTGGTTTTTAAAACCTTGTGCGGAATATTAGACATTGTTTTAGTTTAAAAGTCAAAAAATTATTTTAAAAATTAAAAAGTCAACAATCTATATTAAAAAGTCAAAAAAATTATTTTCTCTCTACTTTCTGTATCTCTTTTTGTAAAAAATCAAAAAGTAATTCCAAAACTAATTTTTTTTACTTTATACTTTAACTAAAAAATCAAAAAATTACTAAAATAACTTGTTTCAAAATGAGGGCAATGGCATCTTCAGCTAATGATGAAGCAAATGGGGAATTATGGTATCAATGAAAAACATTACATGTAACTCTTGTTGATCGGCTTGGATATGCTCCAACGAGGCATGTCTGTCGAGAAGCAAACGTGCGTGGAGGACATACTTGCAAAGGTAGGCATCTGACGACCGTGATACATGTCTCTCTCACATTTCAATGATTTGCAATTATTTTCACTCGTTAATCTATCCACTACAACATATAAGAGTTTTAAAAATTAAATTTTTAAATTTTTAAAAATAAAAATTTTGTTACAAAAAACATTTAGAGTCTAATTTTTATCATCGTGAGGATAGTTGCTAAAAAATCGTCTCGAAAAGTAAAAAATAAGACTTTTAACGATAAATTTTTTAAAACGTCACTAATAAATAAATTTTTAAGGACAAAATAATTTGGTCTCAGAATGATTTATTTTTTGAGACAAAAAATTGGTCCCAAAATGATAATAATTCATCACTAATGTCCAATTTTCGCTGCTAAAAATATAATGATGACACTTTGCGTAACCAAAATATTTGGTCCCTAAAAAATAATTTTATCCCTAAATTTTGGTTTCTAAAACCTTAATTTTTTATAGTGATCTGATATACAAATTTTAAAAAAAAAAATTAATTTTTTCGGCATGAGATATTATATGGCATATTTTCATGAGCAGTGATATACAAATTAAAAAAATATACAAAATTTGTATGTGAATGACATGGCTACATTAGAACTTATCATTTTAAATCAAAATACTGGGAGTGTAAAAATGGTCCCGCTCGAAGCCTGAGGTGGACTCGGTCTATTTTGGCTCGAGCCCGAGCCCAACTTAGTACCTTGGGCCTGGGCCTTCTATTTGAAGCCTTGCCTGGCCCATTAGCCTGACCCGTTGACCCGGCCCAAAAAAAATTGGGCCCTACGGCAACCCACTAGACCCAGCGTAGCCCAACCCACAAGGCCCTCTCTCTGCCAAAGGTCAAATTTCAAAAAAATAAAAATAAAAATAAACAGCAATTTACAACGGTTAAATAATTAAAAAATAAAAACTTGATCTTGAAAAAATAAAAAAAATAAAAAAAAAACCAAAACAAAACAATGAAAAAAAAATAAAGTTGCAAGTTGCAAGTAGTTACAATAAAAAAGAATATATATATATATATATATATATAAACAAATTGTCAAAAGGTGACCTCCGCCCTATCCCCTGCCAGTGCCTGCCCTTCCTTTTGCATCATGTGTCACATTACTCCGTATGCCCTTCCTTTTGCATCATGTGTCACATTACTCCGTATGCCACATAAAGTTAAATTGCAAATTACAATTAAAAAAAAATAAAAAATGTCCGCACCTCTATAGACTTAAAAGAAAAAATTTTAATTTTTTTTTAACTATCATATTATCGTTTCATACAACGGTAATTTTTTTTTTATTTTTTATTTATACATTTACTTCAACCTTTCAAACTACTATAAATATCCACCATTTTTCAAAATAAATCTTACAAATAATTCTCTCTTAAACTCTCTCAATCTCTCTCAACTCTCAATTAATTTTGAAGTATCATCCCTAAGTGGCAATTGTAATTATGCAACAAGAAAGGTTTATCAGAAGAAACTAATTTCTGTATCACATTGTCAATCAGTAACATTAATTAGTTTAATTAAATTTATTAGTCACTCATTTTTTTTCATTAATTATTTGTGAATATATATTAATTATTATTTTTTACTCATTGTATTGACACATTATTTAAATTGATTATTAGTTTATATATATTATTTTTCTTACATTACTATGGATTCTAATGTTCCTAATATACAAAGTCAACAACCTCATATTCGAAATTAAATGCAATTAGGGGCTTTATCAACTGGTAATTTGTGAACATTTTCATATAATCGTATACGTGCACAAAATTCTGTAATGGATTATATTATTAAAAAAGAATAACATTTTACTATTAGTGAATATCCCAATTTTACCGAAATGATTTATGAAAGTTTTGCACCCCAATATCAAAGTTTTTCAAGAAATACTATTAGAAACAAGATTTTAAAGAAATTTGAGGATGCTAAAAGTGAATTATTTGATATTTTTAAAAATTTGAATAGAAGAGTTTGTTTAACATCTGATTTGTGGTCAAATAATGGTTTTGAATATCAATGTATCACTGCACATTTTATTGATAATGATTGGAAATTAAATAAAAAAAATTATTTCATTTAAATTAGTTGAACTTCCATACATTAGTCATTCTCTTAGTGTAAAATAGAAATGTATTATATAAGTGGGCTTTACAAAATAAAATATTTATGATTAGTTTAGATAATGCAGCATATTATAATCAAACTGTAATCCATTTAAAATCAACTTTACAATTACTTGTTGATGGTGATTTATTTCATATTCATTGTTGTGCTCATATTTTAAATTTGATTGTTAAAGAAGTTATGCATGTATACGAGGCTTCTGTACTTATAATAAAAAATGCAGTTGTTATTATTATGTCTTCTACTAATCGAATTTTAGAATATAGAAAAATTTGTCAACGAGAAAATATCCATTTAAAAAATTAATTTTAGATGTAGATAGTAGATGGAATTCAACATATAATATGTTAAAAATAGCTTGTAAACAAATAAGAGTAATAGATTTATTTTTTACAATATCAATACGAGGAATACTAACTCCAACAGAACTTAATTGGCGCCAAGTAACCTTATATAAAGATTTTTTTAGAAGTTTTTGATATTTCAACAAAATTATTTTCTTATATTTATTTTTTTATTTCACCATTTGTTTTACATATGCTAGCAGAAATAATTAAAGTTTTCGTAAAATATATGAGTAATGAATATTATATAACCATTATTACTTTAATGAAAAAAAAATTGATAAATATTTTGATCATTTGCCTCATTTATTAGGTTTAGCCATAATAATTGATTCTAGGTGTAAAAAAATTGGCTTATAAAAATTTTTAGAACGTCTTTTCGTTGATCAAACATAGTTTGCCCCTATTATGCAAACATGCAACAAATTATTTGAAGAATATATGGCAGCTGCATCTGTAAATACACATACACACATTACACTAGCAATCTCATCTCGATGCGGGAGATTAACTGTTTTTTTAGCAATAAAAAGTAGAAGAATATCTCAACATACAAGTGTAAGTAGTTCTGAACTATAACGTTATTTGGAAAGCCGGTTAATGGATGATTCCGATAATTTTGATATTTTGGAATGGTGGAAACAAAATGAATCTATGTAGCTTGTACTTTCACAGATTGCTCGTGATATACTAACCGTTCCTATTTCTACAGTTGCTTTAGAAACAGCTTTTAGTGCAAGTGGACGGGTGCTGAGTGACTACAGGAGCAGGCTTTCACCCGAAATGGTTGAGGCATTGATGATATCCAGGGATCATATGCACACGCTTACAAGAAGACAAAATTTTAGTAAAAATGAGCGAATTCAATATTATTTGGATGACATATCATCGGGCAACTTGACTGAAATGTCTGTCTCCTCCGATGATTGATCAACAATTTATTTTTTACTATTTCATTTCGTTTCGTTTTTTTCTTGATTTTTGTTTTTGTGTTTTTTTTTTGTATTAGATTATTGAGGTGGAGTATAATGCAAATGATTGGTAGGCTAGTAGTACATTAGAACATCATTTTAAATCAAAATACTGGGAGTGTAAAAATGGTCCCGCTCGAAGCCTGAGGTGGACTCGGTCTATTTTTGGCTCGAGCCCGAGCCCAACTTAGTACCTTGGGCCTGGGCCTTCTATTTGAAGCCTTGCCTGGGCCATTAGCCTGACCCGTTGACCCGGCCCAAAAAAATGGGCCCTACGGCA